GAGGTGGTCTGAGGGAACTTGAGTGCTGACAGAATTGTGAAGGCTGTTGACACTTCTTGACATCTCACACCGTAAAAGGCTAGGTTTTCTTGAGGTACCTGAAAAAGAAGGGTTAGTGCGTGATCTCAGAACCCGGGGGACATCTGCTAAAGGCTGATCACGTACGGCTTTTTTGATGCCGAGAAAATTGGCTTGTATTATAGAAGGTGTGGTTGGACATACATCCTGCGGTTTTGGATCACTGATTTAAGCCATCATAATGCATCATTTCATTGTACAAGAACATGTTAAGGGTAACTATTTTTGCCTAATTACCTTCCAACAGACCTTTCTAGTATGGAAGGATCTCGAGGGAACAAGCGTTCTACCAGCGCAGCTCGTTGGGTCATCGTGATTTACGATCCTGGCCACCACCTCAAGGTAGCAGCTATCGGTCAGGACGGTTAACGATAGAACCATTACCTCTCGACTCAATATTCATCTGACACCAGAAAAAGACGATGGTACTGAAAGTAGATTCACTTCAACCAAATGCATCCATAGCTGAAAATTCAGTCGTTTATATATCCTCAGTTGGTCTTGGGCAGCGAAAACTAAATTGCATATTAAAAGTGTAAAATGGACCAATCAGCGTTTAGTATCTTAAACCGCTGTAGAAACAAATAACATTGCGTGGCGCAAAAAGAGCGTGAAATTGAGGTCTAAGTTTTAAAATGATATATACATAAGTTAGTTTTTCTTAGGGATTGGGCATCCCTAACACCATTGCTCCCGTTTAGTGGAATCACCGTGTGAGCAGTGTTGAGATCAGTCAGGCGAAGGGTGTTAGGCAAGACAGGTAAGTTGATTGGTGAAATTGTGAATCTTCATTGGCTAAGATGGCTTGGACGTGTACTGCGCATGCCGAGCCACTCCTACCTTACATGCTGGGGGAGGTTGGACTAGGTTAGAAGAGGGTTCAGTGTCCAAACCAAGACGGCATCAGTCAGTGAAGTCTCCTAGTGTTGGTCTGAGTCTTGTGGGGAAATGTAGGCTACTTGGTAGACAATGGTGGTTAAATACCTGAAGCCTTCTCACATTTTGTACCTTTAACGGCCATGTTTCGCAACCACATAGTAGAACAGAGCAGTACATTCGACCCTTAATAGGCAGTCGGATATCAAGGTGGCACCGTAACTGGCGTAAGTTGACGAAAAGCAAACAAACCTTTTATGGCTGTGCTGAGATTTCGTCGATCACTGACTCACCAAGACTGGTCCGAATTTCCAGTGAAGTGAAGATGATCAACGCGCTCAACCATTTCAGGTAATGTTAGACAAAGGACTAGTGAAGACCGGCTTTGGAGCAACAATTTGCATTCGGGCAGGGAGAAACACATCCGAAGATTTGTCAAATCGCTACTCAAGGTGTCCAGAAGACTGTATTTTGTCAACGTCTTCTTCCCAACAGTTGTTACAACTCAGTTTTTAGCCGCATCTAGCTGCACTCCATCGGATCGTAAGCAGATGATCGGGCAATGCTTTTCTCGTCGGTTACTGCTCTCTCAAGGATCATTCTAGCCTAACGGTATGCTGGAAGTTGTTATTGAAGATTCACTTGAATTACACTGATATAATGTTATGTGATTAGTGCAACAACGTCAACATGGTCTGATGCTGGTGCCACGTGGTCGGCGAACAACCTTGCCATGAAGTGTACTTTTTATCTGATAACTGAAGTTATCTGAAGTACCCCACTAAAATTGTGTATTCTAGTCTTCGGAATACAGCATGCATCAGTAGTGAGGCTCTCCAGCGTCCAGTTCGAACCCATCTGTTGTTTAATATGCGTCAAGCTGGGAAAATTGCTAGCAGTCCTAAACATTACATATGGCTTCAGAATGGTTCGGTTGAATAGTCCACTAGGGAACATGTGTGCAGTCAACTGTGGTGACTCGAAATGGTACAGACCAGGATTTCATCATTGACGAGCAGTTTTCTCAAATGAAGACAAATACAAGTAAAGATGATAACAGTAGAACAATGCAATTCGTATCTGCAAATGACAACAGTGATATTTTGACAAATTGAATAATTTGGTACAGAGTTAATGATTCGGTACGTTTTGTTTGCTACGAGATTAGATAAGCACTTTGAAATCTACATTGTGAAATATCGTATAATGACTTGTTTGAACTAAGATAATATGCAGCATCCATACCAAAACAGATGGTCGTTTTGGGGAACCATCCTCAGTCTTTGACTTCAGACATACTCTACGTTGCAATGGAACATTGTCGGTGACTAAAGTAGGTTCGTACGCTGTTCATTCCTGAATAGAACCCCATATGGATCATTGGTTTGAAATCAAGGCTTCCAAACTCCCTTAAGTAAATTTCCCGTTTCGAATAATCTGATAACACACTCAAAACATTTGATTTTACCTTCTCAATTCTGCAGGATCACTGGGATCTTGGGAAGTCAGCTAGTGAATCTTTTCCAGTAGGGATTGCAAATAACACATCTTGACCGTTTCAAGAATAGAAAATGATAAGATTACGAACGCCTAGTGCTTGGGTAATGAAGGCAAAGTGCGTGGTTTTGGTATCGTCGTACTATACCCTTGACTGTGCCTGGGGTGAAGACATTTTAGTGGTACCTTCAGGACATCACCGCAGCCGATAACAGCAGTCACTTTATACAACGGTCTGTCTCTAGCAAGCGCCAACTTTACACATAAAGCGAAACATTTTCCGGAGTAGGATCACTTATCTCAATGTAACGGTGAATACAGATAAACAATGACCTTAGGGATAGTCAACTAAGTATGACCGTTCATTTTCTACAATCTCCTTAGACCTCTATAACGCATGTTTCTGACCTTAAGTGACTCAGAAAACTTGCTGCTGTATTACTCTGAAGATCGGTATTCAAAAAGAAGTCAGCTAAACAGTTCTTAGGACGTAACAGTGTAACTACTACCCTCTGCTTCATTCTTTTTGGGTTTCCTTTTCCAGCTGAAATTTAACATTGTAAATTAGTGATGGACAGCAGCAGTATTCCAACAGGTTATACGGAAAGTGCGAGAGTTACTTAGATGTAATTAGAAACGTATATGGTTACTATGATCAGTCGTGTGATACATAACTACTGTGATGGAAATAGCAACGATAGGTTATAGTAGCTAGTTGCTCAGGTTTTTTGAAGTTGGGCAGAAAAGGTCAATGGTTGGTGAGTGTTGTCAAGAAAGACATCAGGGAACTTAGTATTATGTTCGATCTGCTGCGGAAGTAGCAGTAAAGACAGTTTGTAAGCTATATCGAAAAGATTAGCATAAGTCAGTCATCCGAACCTACTGGTACAATAAAACGCATTCCAGCTGGCCCTGACCACAATTAGGAGCGAAAGCGGCTTCGACGTAAATTGTTTTTCACTCACCATGAGGAATGCTTGGTGACAAAGACAAAAGCGATGTGGAAAGCATCATCAATTATTTTGGCTTATTGAAAAAACTAGCAAGAAAAAGATGGTGACTAGTGAGACTAAAACCAGGAGAGGTGGGCCTCTGAAAATCTCTAACAACAAGCGGTTGAATCGTCAAGTAGAACAATTTGCAAACCAGGTAAACTGGCCCGCAGTTGCTCTTCAGCTGCTTAACATCCAGTCCGAACGTAAATAGGGAGTAGATGTTAGTCCTCCGACTCACTCAAGTTGTGAAGGTTGTTTGAAGCCTGAAACAGTGCAAAATATCAAGACCTGATGCTTCGCCTCCAGAAGATTTTATGAGTGGAGGTAGAACATTACTTGATAGAGCAAGAGAGGTGCTGGGTAGTGTATCGGAATCAGAAGTAGTCCAGTGAGACTGGCTTAGGCAGTAGTTTGTTATTCCAGTTTACATGAAGGGAGAAGTCTTGTGACAACCACAGGGGGTCATTTTGACTACTAACATCGTGTTCGATTTCGTAGAACCCATAGATATATGACGTGTGACTGGTGCTGGGAACAGCAAGCCGTAAAAAACCAGGCAGGTTTCAAATCTGAACGAGGATACGTTGATCAGGTCTTCACTGTTCGACAGGTTCTGGAACACAGGTGCAGTTATTGGCGCCCTACACCTGTCATGTATCTTGATCTTAATAAAGGCCGCATTTGATTTTGTCGATCAAGGTGTTGTAGTGTTTAACTGTAAAATGAGTAGCTAGTAGGTAGGCAATTTGAACCAAAACTGTCATCTTGAACTCACGTAGAAGGCTGACTTTCAAACCAACTTACTTATTGACTTTGTCATCTTTTCTTGAATGGACAATATTTTCTTCACTGCAGGCAACAGTAGATTGTTCGTTACACATACATTTCTTCTATTCTTTATGAATCTTGTGTATCCCACACTTCATCTACTTTATAATCACCTTGACATATCTGTGAAAATCACTCCCTAGCGTTCTAATTTCTTCGACTAATGCCTGCGTTTTATAGTTTGTAACTAGATTTTCAGGACTCAGAATTTTACGATTGGTTTCGTTTGAGTTTTATCATGCACACCGTTTGTTACTGGTAAACTTTGTGACTGAGAAGCTTACATTGTTCTTAGTGTATATGTTGTGTATAAAATTTTCATACAAAGTATTGGGATCATCCACTTTTTGTAGTCATTGTTTACTTAGATATTGTAGAGTATAGATTACTCTGTAAACTATCAACTCTTATCTTAACTGACTCCACCGTACAATCGGTTTCTTGATACATTTTTTGTTTTGTTATCTCTTCAGTTCATCATTGAAATGCACCTATTCTCCATGTATTCAAAGTGAATACAAGAAACTCATCATTGCCTGAAGCATTTGCGTCATCCGCTAAATGTGCATGACGATTGTATTTTTACTGATGATTTAGGTTCTTACCGAAATCTTATAGTATCTCGCTTTAAGGAGTAGAAAGATGCACAATATATATGACATCTGAACTAGGTACTTTATCAGTTGTTTAATATAATTGAATGTTTTAATTTACCTTGATTTACAGGTGATGGATCTGGAAGCTAAGCTCAATGACGCTGAAAAGGAGTTTCAGTTGATGCAAAGTGCTGTTGGATATGGTATAGCAAGCCCTGCACCAGGAAGTGGGATTTTAGATAGGGGGGATCGGCGTGATGTCGATGCTATTCCTAGGCCTCCTGCCAAATTCACACTGACGGGCCATCGTTCTCCAGTAACTCGTGTACTGTTTCACCCACACTACAATGTGTTCGTGTCGGCAAGTGAAGATGCTTCAATCAAAGTGAGTTTCCTTTTTCTGAACTATATTTTCGTTGAATAATATTTCAAGTAAAACTTAGTTAACTTGTAGTACACAGATAACATGGTCCACATAGGCAAATATGTTGACAGAATGCAGTCATCTTAATGCCTAGAAAGAAAGTCTAAGTGGCATGGATTTTGCCTCTGAGAAATGCAAGATGATACTTCAGGACTGATCTGAAATAACTCGCAGCTTAAGGATAGAATTTCCTATCCTATGTGGTGGAAAAGTTGACCATTTTGTCAACTCGGTGAATTTCAGCAGCCTATGTAGGCTAGCTGCCGGCTGAGTCTATGTTTGGATGCAAAATGTCTTTTTGGTGTTTGTCAACTTATACCACCACTGGCACCGTCGAGATATTTGATTACGTCATAGGACCAGTATACTTCGCAGCAGTTCATCCTATCCCATCGTACGGCTGTGAAACATGATCGTATTACCTGGCGAATCTTACCATTGTGGAGAAAACAAAACACATACTTCACCAAAAACCTAAACACTACACCAGTGATTACGTCACATCCCATTGTGTTTACCAATTTACATATATGTGTGGTCACATATACATAAGGAGGAGTAATCGATTCATGCAGTTAAGGGTGGGAGAACATGTGCCTAAATGGCTTCAAAAACAAATAGAGTGTGAAACAGTGATAAACGCTGATGGGAGACGACCCTCTTCATCCATAACTAAACATATCATAGAAACGGGTCACAAAGTTAATGTTCAAACAGCTTTCTGAGATTTGCGGAAGCCATAGCCATACACAAATTTAAACCACCTTTATGTGTACAAAAACAGTTTGTTCTTACACTAGACCTACCTTGGCAAACTTTGCTTTCTTACCAAGATTAGGATCAACTATGTCAATTCCTGTTTGTTCTCATCTTTCTTAATTTTAATCCCCTATTGTGTTAATTGTTGTATTTATCCCCCCCCAGTCCTCGGTTTAATATATATTGACTTGACAAGTAAATGTGTTATCGGATTGTTCGAAATGTATTGCGCAGATACATCACTTCGTCTTCTAATTACGCTGTCGAAATTCATAAAAGGCACTAACTGTTTCAAATTGTCTTTTAGTCTGAATTGTGTACTCGGGTGTAGGTTACACCGATAGGATGCTTCAGATGACAGCAAGCAATGGGTGAAGACTCCTGATGGTACGATTCGAAACCTGTCACAGTGACGCAGATGCATACACTTTTTATGTTCAAAGTTTTACACACTGATCTTAACATTTACTGATTTATTATCTTCTCTCTCATACACTTCAGTCCAAAGAGAGAGGAAGAAATGGGCCATTTAATTTGGCTACAAGAATCATTCATGGGTTGAAGTATTTTTCAGTGATATTGATCATGAGTTTTTCCTTTGCACAGTGGTTATGCTTCGAATGCTTACAATGAATCATTTGTTTTACGACAAGTGACTTCGTTTGTGATCTCAGGCAACTGTAGTTGTGTGTTACCGAGTAATCTAATCAGTTAGGTCGAGACGTTGAAGTATGCTAAGTGTATTTACGAGTATAGATTATTATGTTCTACTCACTATTTTGTATTCGTTGTTTATGCCTTTTTACTTCATGAAGTGCGCCTAATCTTTCACTACCTCTCATTCTTTATTACTGCTAGCAGTAGACCAACCACTAATCTTCCAATATAGGTTATTACTATAATATAATTGGTTTGACAAAACTGATAGTCTTCGTTTCGAGTATGTGGATCACTTCGCAATAGAAACTACATTTTATAAGGTGGAAACGTCCTACCATATTGTTTTTAACTTCAGTAGTAGTAGATTCACAACACAAAATCTGTTCGTACTCTTAAACGTATAACGGCATAACCACAAACACACAGAGCTGACACCAGAAGGCGGTTAGATGCGCTGTCGGAGTAAATTCTAAACTGGAACGTATGAAATGTCTGTACAGCTCAACCACTATGCATCTGTAACATATCAGTAAAAGTAAAGTAAGCCCTTAAAAAGGCATCAGCATATAAGATGACAATATTACTAGGTTCACGGGACGCAGGAAAAACTGTGAAGAGATATTCAAATTCTATATAGTGAGTTTTTTTCTTAAAAATAAGCAGTTCAACCCTCTATTTTTGGGCATCAATCATCAACACATCTGTTTGCTCTCTCCTAATGGATGAAATTTAATTGCAATAAATTGTTGTCTTGAACCTCCCTATATTTTTGGGTGATCAATAAAAGTGTGATTCTACTAGGCGTCCATTTTTACATATAGATTATCGATCACTCCTTGTAATTTTCCTGGTTGGGTAACTCAGTCATAGTGTTTTGCTAGTTTTACACTTGTTATCAGTCTGTGAATCTTTGCAAGTATCTGTCAAATATTTCTATTATTAAATAATAAAATCGTAATTTAGTGGTAATCCATCATTTCCATTTTTACTCTAGGTTTGGGATTATGAAACTGGGGAGTTTGAACATACATTGAAAGGTCACACAGATTCCGTACAAGATGTAGCCTTCGATCCTACTGGGAAGCTTTTAGCTTCTTGCTCTGCTGATATGCAAGTTAAACTATGGGATTTTACAATCTACCAATGTATTAAAACACTAACTGGTCACGATCATAATGTATCTAGTGTGGCGTTTTCACCCTCTGGTGATTTCTTGGTTAGTGCTAGTCGTGATAAGACAATCAAGATGTGGGAAGTTTCTACAGGGTATGATGACTAGTAAATTGCTTAGAATCATTATATCACGTTCATTTTTGTTGTGTAAAACACTCCAATATTAGTTCTGCATCAAGTAAGAATACCAAGTATCTGAGAGTGACTTTAAAGGCCACCGTGACAACAACTAAAATAACCAATTAGACTTCTATATTTTATGAAGACCTGCCTCCTCAGCCAAAATGAAGAGATTTAATCAATCATTTAGACTGTTGCTTGGGTGGTCTTTAGGGTTGTCCATATTCGATCATATCGCATAGTGTATAACATTTGACAATACTAGGGAATTGCGTAGTACTTTCTTACGCAATACTGGCCTAATTTTTCACTTTGCAGTTAGGACTAATTCACGAAGATTAACTAGTGTAATAGCCCTTCATGATTCATAAAAAATCTCTGAAGGGAGAATGCTTTTGATTCCCGTGTGAAGAAGTAGCACGAACCAGTACAATAGAACTTTACTCTTCCAACCATATTCTCGCTTTTTGTGTGCTGTCCGATATTACTGTACAGTTAGAAGCTGAAGAAGTAAAAGCATACAACTTGACTGACTTAAACTCATTGGCGCTTTTTATTTTCAGCTAGTAAGTCTGGATAAACCATTGTAGCTAGTAACTTCAATGTACACTTGTGATGAATTGAGTTACGCAAACCTTTCTTGTTCACCAGAGTTCTACAACATTTGAATGCTGATGGAAGCGATTGTGTTGCTTACTTGCTTACCTTGGAGATTTATTGCAAGAAGTTAAAAGTTCGCTATTTTGTTATTATTATAATTTGTCCCTTGAGTTCCTAGTGGAACATAGGGCTTCAATAGCACGTCGCCATTTCAATCTGTTCTCTGCAGTCTTTTTAACCTGGCTCCACTACTCCCCATAAGCTTTCATTTCTTCCTCACACCACCTCCTCCACGTCACCCACGGACGCCCAGCTTGTCATTTCCCCCTTGGATTCCACTCGAGGGCCTGGCGCGTGATCTCCCCGAAAGGTCTTCTCAGTGTATGCCCACTCCACCTCCACTTTCTTCTTCATATTTGTTGGGCGATGGGTTCTTACTCGGTTCATTTCCAGAGATCCTTGTTGCTTATTTGTTCTGACCATCCATCTGATCTTCAGTGTCGAGCGTAGGCAGCTGTTGCTGAATGTCTAGTTTATTGGAAATGCTTTTCGTAACGCTCCAAGTCTCTAAACCATCATATAGAAGCACTGACTTGACATTAGTGTTGAAAATACGGATCTCGTTGTTTATGCTGAGTGGAGTGCGGTGCAGTAGATCTCCACACTGATTTCAGGTTGTTGAATGAAGGCTTGTCTTGCTATCTTTCCGATCCTGACCTTGACATCCTCATCTATGCCGCCGCCTGCAGTTGACAGGTAGGTGAAAGAGACAACTTCCTTTAAGTTTCTCTCGTTGATGGTGATTGTGCTTGTTGTGGTTCTTTTTGGTTTGGTGTCTTCATTACCTCTGTCTTCCCTACGCTCACCTGAAGGAAGTACTGTCTTCGCTGCCCTGCCTCTTCTGCCAACTTGTTAATTTTTGCCTGTAGATCTTCGAGTTTGTGCGACATGAGACGCAAATCGTCAGCGAAATCCAAATCGTGTAGGGTCTTTTCATCGCTCAAGCCAGCGTATGCCCATCTTCTCGCCCCTCACAGTTTGTTGCATGATCCAGTCAACCACAACCAGAAATATCATAGGTGCTAGTAGGCGGCAACCTTGTCCTACTTGTCAAACTGTCTTCACTTCAAAGGCGTCACTGAACTCTCCATTGCGAATCACTTGGCATGTGCATCCCCCTATAGCTGTTGAACGAGGTTGATAAAGATTTGTGGCACTCCGTAGTGCTGAAGCAACTTCCAAATTACTTCTCGGTCAACGCTGTCGAAGGCCTTTTCAAAATCGATGAAGTTGAGGTAGAGTTGAGTTGACTGCCATTCTATGCTCTGTTCTATGATGATGCGTAGTGTAGCGTTGCAATTTGATCCCCACACGATTTGTTTTTCCTGAAGCCAGTCAGCCTGTTTCGGTCGTAATTTTGAATCCAGAGCATTTTTTTTATTGCTAAATTAAGTCACTCTATAATTTTTCAACCTTGTACTTTGTTAGTGTCGTAATATTGAAACGTACCTTAGATTGCTGCGTATGCTGTCACACTTCATAAGCCACTATCAAGAAACAAAGCAATACGAAGAAAGATAAATAATTAGAAATGGTTTAAAGTCGCAGACAACGATAAAACGAAAGGAAGTTCAAATCGAGTAGGGGAATTATAACGATTCTCAACCTGGTTGCGTAGAGTTTTCAACAGAAATCTGGCTACGGTAAGTATGCCTGTGTTCTAAGATCCGAGAGTTTTGATATACAGCAGATTCACCTAAAATCATCTCTGAAAGCTACCCGTTTTTCTTGAACTTACCGTTTCCGAGCTCCTTTTAAACGTCGAGTAATTATGGGACTTAAAAGTTTAGATCTGCAGTTGATTGGTCTAGACACTCGACCTACAGGTCCAAGCTCCAGTTCATCTACCAATGTCTAGGTAGCTTGCCATTTCATTAGCCCCTCACAAAATAGGTGCAGCTCATTGCCTATTGCATGAATGTGTACATGGTTGCGGGGTCACATTTCGATATCCAAAATTTTCGACAATATGTCGGTCCGGCTGATTCGTCTGTGTTTCTCGAAAAATGATTTCCTTCTCAAAGGCTGTGATTAGTTATAGGTTATAATAGATGATTCCCATGTCCAGTTTATCTAGCCAGTAACCGTGGGCCAACATCCCTAAATATCTTTGATGCTCTTGTGCTATGCTTCATTTTAGGATGCTTATAACCTCAAATGCTGGAAAAGTTGGGGGCTCATTGGCAATATATCACCCAGGCTGAGACTGGAGAACAAGTAACCAAAGGGTAGCTGAAGGTTAACCCAGCCGATAGCTACTACTACCTCGACGTAGTGGTTAGGCTTTTCTATTGCAATGACCCGACAAGCTATATCAGCTGAGACGATTGTTCCTTGAGATCCTACCATCCCAGAAAGATTTATTCGATAGTGATAAGACTAAAATCAGTTACCACTATTGGGGGAAACAGTCCACACTATAGTGGCGTTCTGTGGGCAAAATTGTACTGCAGGCTGGTTGGCAGTGTTAGTAAGGTGTTCCCCGTGGATGACCAACATTCCGTCCCAGTACTTCCTTCTCTTCGGAAGGAGAGGTGAGAAGTCGACCCTGAAAGCAGCACACTTTTTCATACTCTGCGGTCGTCGGGTGGTGGCCGCATGGATACTGTCACGAATAATTTTAAAAATTCGACACCAGATCTAAACGCCTTCCGAAGCCATCTTCAGGTGAGTCTGATTAGTTTAATTTAATGCCTAAAACTAATCCCAATAGAAATTACCCTACTGTTGAGATTCATACGACCGGTTCTTCCATCACACCAACAGTTCACTTCAGAAACAATCGAATATATGAACAGTCCAAATACTTAGCATCAATATTATGTCCGATTGGAAACCTTTTGAATTCTACAGTAGTCAACCCCTTCTAATCAGAGGAAGGACTCAATGATCTTTATATAGGAAATAATGAGAAAAATGATCGGTTTCGATGTACCAAGTATTTATGCTAAGATACCAATCAGTATGGGGTTGGAGGTAGCCGGAAACCAACCAAGTATTGATTAAGAACTTTCTCACAGAACTAACGCATCAGCTGATGGGATCATGTTAGGTGTTACGATCCTGCCTGATCTCTGCAGTCTTCTAGACAAACAGAAGGAGTAGTAATGGGACCACCAATATCTCCAATCATAGTAGACATTTACTGACGGTTGGAAAAGTATAGATTCACAGACGTTTAGTTTCACTTATAAGATATGGTGGCGATATTTTGATGACAAATTTACCGTACTGAAATCGGAGAATATCGATAGTTTGTTCTCATTTATAAACCCAGAAGTACAAGCACTCCAATAGCTTACGAGTTAGATGAGCAAGGAGAATTAGCAATGATGGATTGTAAAGTAAAACGAAGAACGGATGTTGGTTCGGATACTAGTGTCTACTAGAAACCAAAACACATGTAGACTTCAGATCATCTTATCCGTTATCATTTAAAGCGGGTTTACCTAAATGTTTAAATAATAGAGCTAAAAAATCCGCTGCTCAATCCAAGGACTTAAATAAGGAATTGAAACAAAAAAACCATCACTAGTCAGTAATTAGCCTCTAGGGTTTATTAACAAATTTGCAAGAACACAATAAAAAAACGAAATATTGACAGTAATATGAATAGTAAGGGCAACATAAGTAGAATAGAGTTCAAGGTTTCTATTGTATTACCACATGAGGAAGGAATATCGAAACCTACGTAGAATTTTGAACTAGATTGAACTTCAGTTGGTATTCAAATCTACAAACTCACTGAGAGGTGAGAGGTAAGCTTCATCGGCTTAAAGATTCTGTTGACCCAACTAGTCAAAATAATTCGATCTACCGAATATTATGCAATAAGTATGAGGTCAAGTAAATGGGTCACACTAGTCGATCGGGGTCAGATAGATTATCAAAACAGTAATTTATCCAAATGTAGGATGTTTGACCCAAATAAAATCAATAATTTCGAAAAAGAAAACTCTCTCATTGGTATATATGCACTGACAACCATACAATCGGGTAGGATAAAACCATTTTACTTGTTGCAATACATTTAGGTGGGGAGAGAGAAAGAGACTGATTTCCGAATCTTTATCCACTGAACCGAACGCATGTAATGGAAATGGCGCAGCACTTGTACCATAAATATGAAGAATTTTACTGCCAATAAGAACAGAGAATATGAGGTGATAAGACTATAAAAATCAGATGTCGATAGTTGTATGATTATGTTGATATGATCATGAGCAATAACTTATGCTTGAAATGTCATCAAGTAAATAGTTTTGTATCGCTGTGTGCTATATCAAATAAAAAGTCTATTATGGATTTACATTTTGCAACAGGACCAAAGGCTTACACCAATATTGATTTCAGGAAACCAAAGATGCTATCCCGTAGACTGAAGTTTTCATAGGCTGTTGAGGTGTGAAAACTCAGAAGGAATATAAAGTTACTGACAGAAAAATGTGAATGTAAACTGTAAGGCAACAGTGTAAAAGCTCGATGATGGTCGAGAAGGATTGACAAAGATCTGTGGAATATTGACACTTCCCCCCGCACATATCGTGCAGTTTTACTTAAAGTGCCTGAAGAAAAAAGTAAGTGAATAGCGATGTTGTTTTAGTCCTGGACGCGCAACCCCAGAATCCAAAGGAAGATTACTGAAGACAGGCTACACATGGTGTTTTGGGAATTTCATGGTTTAGGTCTGATTATTTTTTGTCCGCACATGAAAGATATTTCTTACACCGAAACAAAAGTCTAGAGCCTGAGCACAATGTGATGGTTTTTCCCAGACCTTTTTTCATTCTTCATTTTGATAAAAGGAAGACAGCATCAACCTGATTTGCTGGTTATCTCCTGGAATCACTTTACTTCTTTCATACAGCTAAAGGTACTTTTTCGCCATCAGACCCCATCGTAGCGTAAGTCATTTACACTATTACAATGATTACTTTTAGCGTCACCACCATCCACCATGCCGTCTAACTTCAGAGAACCTCAGAGAATAGTAGTGCAACTAGCACAACACGTTGGGTCATTGTAGTATGCGAGGCAGGCCATCATGTCAACGTAGCTGGTAGCTATTGCTTAGTAGTAAATTAATTACTTTTGGTCGATGCATATTATAATTGTGTTTTAAAATAGCTCACAAGTAACTGGCATAGTATCTATGATCCTTTAGCTTACAGTCATTCGAAGCTTAATTGAAACAAACTGAAGAAAACCACGAGGTTTTCTGAGTGCATTGTTCAGACATTCACCCTTCAGGTTATGAAACATAAGCACACTTACTGATGTTTGTAACTTATCGTTCTTCTTGTCTTGAAGGTGACATTCGACTCTGTAAATCGAGAGGTTTGGTGGTGATACTAGACTGAACTGAATACTCAGTGAAAATATTTTGCCTATGAAGACTCATTTAGCCGTGCAACGCCTCATGGAGAGTCGTAAGTTACCTTGATGGTAACCAGTAGTTTTTGTCTGAAATGTCTTCTATCACCATTTCTAATTATCTTTGTCGTAAATATACTGATAGAGGTAACTTTACTGATCTCCGAATTTTCATTGATTAGTTTGTTGCCCAGAGACGATCTGCTTTACCATGTCACGCGGAACACCCTGACTGAAAATCGGAAAAAGTTTGGTGATGCCTTCTCACTAGTGCACTTCAACCCCTAGCTTAAGAACTGGAGATTATATGTTAATCACACTTAGATTATTAAATATACAAACCCTACCGCCGTTATAAGTGTTTGGAATTACTCATTAAACAATGTTGAAATGGAGTAGGAATCTTCATCATTCTTCATTCGTTTGTCCGCACAAGAGAATCCTACTAAAGTCCCCTGAAGAGGTGAGAAAGTTTGTTGAAAGTAGTTCCCTTAAAATCTGTTGCTAATATTTTGAAGTCACGACTGGTTGCTTCAAAAATCACTGGTAATGTTTCTTCACGTGAAGTATTTTTATCAGACTAACCATTGTTTAAAAGTCATAAACTTTGAATTCACAATGCTAGTGAACGTCCTTTATTTCATCGATTTTTGGACTGCATCAATGTGTCTTGTGATCACAAGATCTACTACAGATCACAAGATCTAAATTAGATTTTATATATATATATATATATATATATATATATATATATATATATATATATATATATATATATATATATATATATATATATATATATAGTCCAAGGTATTTGCGGTGAAAAGAATCAGTTCACCGATTTTTCTTCCTAAAGATAACATTTAGGTTGAATTTCGTAGGTTTTATTGAATAGCACAACAAAAGTAAGTTGATAGGGTATTTTCGTTACTAATACTGTGAATACATAAGATTTCCTAGCTAAGAACAGTTTTGTTTTTGAGTATAACAATGTCATTCACCCCTAGTGAGATCTCACAATCTACCTATCAGAAATCGAAGCAGACTAATATTTATCTTTTTATCGACGTGTAATTGTTCCTTTTCAAATGTAACCAAATTATGAAACTGGGGGCTACACTTTTCAAACTGTCATGGATCAAGGTTAGAATCACAGTCGTTTCAGTAGGACTTCGTTTACTTTGGAGATTGATTAGCGGTTTATGCATTTATAGATCCTACGAAAGTTAGTAACAAATTTTCTGGTCACAGTTCTGATGTTAGGAAGTAGACGTACAATGTGTATGACAGCATCTAAGCGTCGGTTGATGGTTGAGTCAAACCGATCTCCATGCTACGAATCAGTTCTAATTGGTTTTCGCTAGTGTGAGTAGTTCAACAGTAGTTGGTGTTTCAAACTGACCTCATAGCAAATTTATACCATGATGGCGTTTATCGATGTTGCAAAGATATGTAATTTAATCGTCTTATTATACGGCGGTAGAGTAGACTTAGTTTATACTACGTTTATTTAAAATCTGACCAATGATTTGACCGATTTGTCACCTTAATTTCTCCAAAGAACCATTCTGTGTTGTGTAGACCTTCATCGACTGAAGTGGCTTAAATAAAAGCTACACCTAATTTTTTCAGTTTTTTACTTACAAATGCTATGGCAATTACATTTTGATATTATTTACTTTACTTTTTCCTTGTCTTTACAACAACCGTCTTATTCCTAGATATTGTACAAAAACTTTTATGGGCCATACTGAATGGATTCGATCTGTTCGTCCAAGTCCAGATGGCAGTATTTTGGCAAGCTGTTCAAATGATCATACTATTCGAATTTGGTCTGTAGAATCTCGAGAATGTCAAGTAGTTCTTCGTGGTCATGAGCATGTTGTTGAATGCATTGTGTGGGCTTCTCATCCCCAAAGCGTAATCGCGATAACTAGTTCTTCATCAGCCAATAGTAATTCTACACATGGAACTACGGAAGGATTAATGATTTCCTCTACAACTAATGGAATTTCTATGAATTCAGATTTCTTACCTTCTAATTTAAATTCAGCTTTATTACTTGTATCTGGTTCACGTGACAGAACTATTCGTATTTGGGATATACACCCTGGTGTATGCTTGTTTGTTCTTGTAAGTGCTTTTAGCATTAATTAGCAGTGTATTTGTTTTATCAGGTTTTCGCTGAAAGTTATTCGTTCATCAAAACACAAAGGACTAATAAAGGGAAAATAAATTTCCTGTGTTTCAGAATTTGACTAGGGTCGATTTTTCTTTGTTGCTTAACCACATGTGAGGATTGCTAAAAGCAACAAGCGAACGAAGCGAAAGCGAAAGGCACTCAACCACCTTGCTCATATCTGTGCAGTAGGCAATGAACCACACCTATTGTTTGAGGAGTGTCCGAAACTCATTAGGTGGGGTGGGGTTCCGAACCCGTGACCCAATTGTTTATTGTTCATCTCCTTGAACCACTGATCCACAGCTTGGCAACATATCCATGAATAATTACTTATCAAGGCAACCATTTTAATACCGAAATTCGGTGTCCATATAGAATTACCACTTCTCTTCTTTTGTTGACCGCAGGTGAGGTACTGACCTTTAAGTGGAATCCTTTCATTTTTCCACATTATGTAGGTATGTAGGTATGGTTCATAGTCTCTTACATACTCGACTTTTAAGCAATAGAGACCGTGCCAAAGTGCCGCTTCACCTATTTCAGCCTGAGAAGAAAGGTGATATTATGTGCCGCTGCACTTTGATTGCATCTCATCACTCACTACGTAAACGAGTATATGGTCGCTGAGTTGCATTATGTTCACTTCACTAGATTATCTCCATCCATTTACTTGGATGGTGTAAACATGTACGGCAGTACTGTTTTGTATTGATATCACTGTTGACCAAGCGCTGATATTGACTTTTAAATTGACTGTGAGAATATTGAAATGGCTTTATTATTGCGTTGATAAATTATATTCCCCTGAGGAAGACAGTTTGTGGGAAAACCTTCCTAAGGTTTCTTCTCGTAGTGATATCGTTACTTCTTGTGGTATTATTTCTTCCCACCTTGTATTTCTAATATAATTTGTATGTTTTAATTACTTTGAGAAGATATGCATGGTTAATTTGAGCGTCATTACAAGTGAAGAAGTGTTTTAATCATCATATCTGAATTAGACTAAAGGTGTATGGACTAGATCGTCAACCCTAGTGTTTCATTCGTTGGTTGGGCCTATACCTTATTGGTCTAGACAGTCGATTTCTAGCTGATTGATTGTTAAATTGAGCCTCACTCGCTCTACTGAGGTCTTGGCAACCAGGTAATATCATCAATAGCCTTCGTACAACAGGTGTGGCACATTGCCTACTATATGAATATGCACGTGGTTGCTAACTTCACTTCGATTTGTTTTTGAAATCTGATCAATCACGTCAGATGTCTTCCCTTAAGCTTTTGCTGGTGATTTTCCTGCTACTCAACGCTATTATTTTTTACCGTGTCACATGTTTAGTGGTGTTTGACAGAAATTGAATACGTTTGTAATAACACTTATTTCAACGAATACTAGGCAATGAGGCACATATATTTTATTTGGCTCCATCGATACTGTCTAACTGTTACAATCTTTATAGAGGGAGCATGTTTCAGACCTGTGGTTAAAGGTCGTCTCTTTAGTACAGTTACTTGAAGTTGTATCTCATTAATCTGCTTGTATAACTGTAACTGTCATTATATTGTAGATTAAAACCATGCCGTAATTGCCCATTGGTAATATCTGCTGGAGAGATCAAATGTAATACTATAACAATGTTTACCCTGCTGAGTTAATTGAATATCACATTGCTAATAGGTTTTTTTTCAGGGAAGGGGGAGGGAGGGATAATTTTCTTCATTATGTTTACACTGTACTATCTTAAGAAATTAAGGAGTGGTGGCATCCATTTCATTTGATTGCAGAACTTCACAATAGTATGCTTTCCCCGCCCTTTTTTTTCTTTCCTGTGACCAAAGTGAAGAGTTTTTATTTCGAAAAAAGTCTCTATCATATGATGAATGCATATTATGTTTTCTATACTAATAACTCGTTTTCTTATGCATGATTTTGTGTTTAGATTGGTCATGATAACTGGGTTAGGCAAATTGTATTTCATCCCCATGGTAAACTATTATTATCGGCGTCAGATGATAAAACAGTTCGAGTTTGGGATTTGAAAAATCGACGATGTCATAAAACGCTTAATGCCCATTCACACTTTGTAACCTCTTTAGGTGAGTCATTCATTTATTTATTTGATTTTGTTTATTCATTTATTATTATTATTATTATTATTATTATTATTATTATTATTATCTGGTTTCACATTTGATCACTTGAAATTATTTTATAAATAAGCGAGTTTGAAAATTTAATTAAATTGTGATTGTAAGGTAAGTTGGGCACATCCAGCTGACGAGTCCCAAATAGGACGAAATACGCATCCTGGATTGCACTGCCAGCCACTATCCATCTTTACTGTAAGTTGGAATTGTTGTCCAAGGTATCAAAAATGTAAATGCTGTTTTAAAGTGTTCTTTTCAATGTTCACTTAAAAAACGTTTGTTGGAAACTTACTGTTATAGCCTTTTACTAATGGTAAATAAGTCATTGGCAAACAGAGCATTCATCTAATTCTTTAGCAGTATAGTTTCATACTGAAAGGAACTAACCTCACTATGGTAGTCAAATGATGGATACAGGTGGTCGTACAGTGATTTCGTGTAAACTGTTTCAAGGTTGATTGTTCACAGTAGTATACAAAGAACAGGTGGATATGGCGAAAGTGATATCAAAGTAGAAAAAACTGCGTGAGACAATAAACAGTTTGAATATGAAGGTTAGTACGAATATTCAAACTTAAGACGTCAAAGAGTAAATCGACCTGCACCACTGTGGCCGATTTTCAGCCATGTCACCAAGTCTTCTCAGTCACTAATTCCTATAATCTCGGAGACCTCATTTAGGTAGTCTACATCTTCCCACACGACTCAAACCAACAGTAAGAGACTTCATCGACTGGTGCCATGTCTTGGTCTGGCCACCTTGAACCATCTTCTAACCTAATCCAACCTTCCATAGCATAGCACGTTGAGGTAGGTAATGACTTGGCGAGCTCTGTACATCTCCAGACCACCTCAGACGATGAAGGTTCACAATCTAACCGACTGACTTTCTTGTCTTGCCTAGTAAGCTTCGTTTGACCTACACATTTCTCACACGGTGACTCCACCAAACGCGAGCGATGCTACGAAGATACGTATGATCGAAACCCTCTACTGAAACGACCATGTCTCACAGGCGTATAACAAGACAGAACGGACTTTAGCGCCATACATTGATCTTTTGATAGACAGTCAAATATCTCGTCGATCAGCGCCATGAATGATACCAGTTGGCAAGTGCCAAATGGGTCCTGTATATCCGAACTGAGATTTCATCAGGATTCAGGTCGTTCGAGCTGATGAAATTCCCCAAGTGGATAAAACGCAATCTAAGTTGTTTGGTTTACTACGTTTTCAGTTTATCAGTTAGGTCACTCGAGAAGGCAAATACCAATGAATAAATACAACAGGTGACTATTCTATCCTAGCCACTTTATGGTATCAAAAAGGGTAAACATTTCGTTTTGTTATGGATTTTGTACTTTTTTGTTTGTACGCTTTTAAGTGTGTAAAAAAGCAACTTGAGCATTTTTGTTAAAGCTTTTATGTTGTTCACTTGTCATTTAGTCCATCTTGACATTACATTATTATGATATTCTGTTGAGTGCTTAAAAAAAGCAGTTTGTCGATGGTTGCGTAGTCTTTAGTCTGTTTGGGTATACAAAATAGACCTTGAAATTAATTTTGTTCTTGTTAAGTTAATTGCTTATTTAGTTTTCACTTACGGATTGTCTCTGACTGATGTACTTTTTTGGACAGCGTACAGACTGAACTACACATTGACTACTAGTTTGCACCTCAGGAAATTAAACTTCAGTTTCATTATTTCCCGCATAATAAGTTCCATAATTTCTTAAATACAGTTATGATATAGTACAGTATTCGATCCATCATTATTTATCAAGCTCCATCGATTTTCGTGTTTATTTCTTTTGAAGAAGAGTGTATCTTCTGGCTCAAGTAACTCTATTTATGTTCCAGACTGCTTGTAACTGACGAGGGACCTTTAAATAAAGTGAGCTCATTTCATTAAACGAATTCGATTCTTCTTCCTTTGGTGAGGATGATGAGTAGAACACGATGTATGAAGTTGTCGAACACTTAAATAGAATTTACAAATTACGCAGTCTTGAGTGACATTTCATACAGCTAAAGAGTTTTCTAACTTCCTAAATGTGGTGTCAACAAGGTTCCCGTTGGAAACCACCTAGCTAAGATCACAATTTGTAATATCTGTGACACAAACTAGTGATATATACCACTGAACAACGTAAGTAGCTAGAAACTACTCATGTTGGTTTGGCTAGCCAAATCTATTGATCAGCCTGAGTAGTTTCCAACTGCTCATGTCATTCACTGGTATCTTGCTGAAAGCTGCTGGATTTAATTTAGGCGTCAAGTAAATCATTGTAACGCAGAATTTATGTACACTGGTTAAAATTTGAGCTGAATTAATTACCGGTTAATGGTTTAAGGTGATAGGCCTCTAAAATAGTTTTACAGCTACTTTTTTGTCTTTCTGGGAATGACGTGTCTTTTTTGTCATATCCCATCTATTTTTACTCTCTTGTCGTCCTTCTGATTTTCCTTATCAAGCATGGTAAAGGGAGAATATGCATACACACATGTATGTCGTTGTACTAGGTCACTTTTTACTGATCCACATCTAAGAACTATTCTCATTTTGACTAAAATGGCATTTCTAATAAGCAGCAAGAATACTATCTCACTGCTTATATGCGTTGACTAGCTTCTAAGGCATATAGCACATAAATTGATCAATATTCAACTTTGCATAAAAGCACGTGAATGTAAATTACTGTCGCGCTATATCGTGAACTGACAGGTTTAGGAAATTGTGAACTGTTGATTTCCAGCCATGTGGTTAAATGGTTAACACGCTCGCCGCGAAGCCTAAAGTTTCCGAGTTCGATCCCTGATGCACTCGTGGGTGACTGCGTACTGCTGAGGAGTCTCATACTAGGGCGAAAATACTATCCGGTGCCCCCAAGTTTTCAGTGGTTCCCCAACTGATGTCAGTTCACATTGAATATTACCTTAAAAATAAGTTAGCGTACTTCGTAATAGCACAGTAGGAAAGGAGTAGTAAAATAAACCACAATGGTGATTGCAGCGGTAAAGTAAGGGACATGTAATAATTAGCTATCTGTGGTGCAGAGTACCATGAAGAATAATCGCATCTACACTGTTTTGGTTGATTTTGTGCAAAATGTTTCCAAGGTTATCTATCTCCTGTCAGTAATAGCTAATACATCTTGGATATAGGGGACTCTTTAATCGGCTTAAATTAGAATGTTTCATAAAGGCGGAACTATCTACTTGGTCTTACTCGCCATACACTTTTAACGTTGATTTTTTTCAATTCATCTTCAAAGTGTAAAATGAAGTTGTTAAGCGTGATATACTTTTCAGCTTGAACTTCCCTACTCCCCTAAACTTAACTAGCGATAACGTTTTCTAGACACGTGTGCACAAAATTTATGAGGGTCATGTTTTACTCTTAGAGAGACTTATGATGATGATGTTCCATTATGCATCAGCTTGTAGGCTACTCATATTATACTTGAATAATTAATGATGTGAATCCGTAATAACGGTTCATGATGTTATAGCATTAAAATGCAAAGTTGGTTTGCTTATATTCAGTAGAAGTATATGTTTTCACTCACGTTATTTGGTGAACAGCCTGAAATAGTTGATAATTCCATGTTTATAGATATAGAGTGCATATGCTGATGTAGGTATAGTGGGTGATATTTTCAATTGCGTACCAAAAAACAACAGCAATGATATCATGACGTTCATATAACTGCAAGAGGTTGAGTGTACAGCACTTCAGTTTAGTTCATTAGTTGACGCATTCGTTTTCCGGTCCCACTTGTTCTACCTGAGCAACTGAGTAGATTCATCAGTCCCCATGCATAAGGTATGCGTTGTATCCTAGTTACAACATACAACGCTTCTGTATGAGAAGTTTAACTTCACTTGTGTATGAATTCAACTTTCTGTCCTGAAGATTCGTGATAACCATTTTTTCATTATTTCCCATCTTTAATGACAACATCTATGTATTTCTGACATCTGATAGTGTGTTCGTAGTAGAATGGAGATGTTCATTTGGTCAACAAAGTCGTAAGACATTAACTTTAGTATGTTGTACATTTTTCACAGACCATGTTAAAGATTTCCTAATAGCAATCATTGTTGGTTCCCCATGAAACACTGCTTGAGGGAAGCGAAAAAAATGATCAGTTAATGACATAAAGTTGTAGAATGAAGGATATTTTTGAATTCCTCTTCTTTTGGCACATCAACAACTGTGTATATAGTCATTGAGGTTATACCGCTAGTTTCCTGTCGGTGTTACCAGATTACCATACAAAATAAGTACTGGTAGTCATCAGGTTGTTAATTTATTATCTAATGTTTTAAAACTAATATAGAAGTGTTTCGAACTTTATAGTGTGGTTTTTCATATCTCTGCACCTTTATATCTTCATAATGTTTGGCTAGTCCATTTAATTTCAGGTTGGTATCCACCATGAACTGACATCCTGGGTTCGATCAGTGGCAGGGCCTGCTCACTATTGGGGAGTCTCATCCTAGAGTGAAACAGCTGTCCAGTGCTCCCAGGTTTCCACTGTTTCTTCAACTGATGTCAATCCATGATGAATACCAACCACAAACCTCCAAATTGTACAGTGTGACATTACTTGACAGCCATATTATGTAGAGTTTGTTTTAAAATGGCAATATCAATCATTAATAATTGGTTTCTGTGTTGAATAAATGATCAACTCCTGAGAAGTTGTTTTTGCTAACGGAGTCAAATCTGTCAACACTCCTGTGTATGTTACAATTGGAGAGGAATCATGAGAATGGATATCTGACAACCGGTTTTTCGTTACTTAGTAGAACTCCTCATTCAGATGATGATATACGAATTTTCGCAATGAGAAAATGAATCTATGCATAACTGGTAAAAGATGAGACGGAATTAATCTATAATGTAGAGTCATTGGAAATCGTCACAGTTAATTTGATTAGTGGCAACATTTTTTTCTCAGTGGCTATTATTGTTATTTTTAGTTTTCTAAGGTATTTAAGAAAAACATGATCAACCTTTTATTGTTTCATAATAAGATTACGTAACGCTGCCAATATTATGGTTAACATTCCGATTATTTATACGTATTTTTAAAAATGCATTAACACTGGTTTGTTAGCAAAAAACAAAAATGTCTATGAAAATATTTTTAGAGCGTAAACAATTTTTAATCACTAGAAAATTATGCTTAAGCTTATTTTCTAGTGGTCAGAGGAAGTTACTTGGCCCCTGTTACATTGAATAAGGTGGAGGTGTGGGCCATGGGTTTGAACCCTACTGCACCTACTGAGGTTTGGTTAATGAGGTAGGCGTGGCTCATTGACTACTTTATGAATGTGTACCAGGTTGCTGAGTCCATTCTTCTTCTACATTATTGAATAATAGATACTGATAAGGCTTTATGTGTTTGTTTCATTGTTTTTGTAAAAATGGTTTTCTGCCTAACTTTTTTTGTCATTGATTTCATTTTGATTTTTGTAGATGTGAATCGTTCAGCTCCATTTGCTGTTACGGGGAGTGTTGATCAAACTATTCATGTGTGGGATTGTCGATAAACGTTGACTGGTACTATGTGTAAATCAGTGATAATAAAGGTGAAAGAAGGAAAAAAAAGGAATGACTGGCTTTCTTATATGTTTTTTGGTTTGCTGGATTTTTGAATTTATCACCTGCTGCTCTGGTTTCATACATCCACTTGAGACAAATGACACAGAAGGTGAATCAACTGACTTGTATTTAGGATCTATGCGCATATACATATAGATATATATCCACATTATGATGTTATCAGTGTCATCTTCATTTTTTTCAGTTAAACATAACTTCTTGGAATCTCATCTAAAACTGAGTTCTTTTTTAAAAATTTTATTTTATTCTTCAGTTCACATCTATGATAATCACAGGCATGAGGTGTTTGTTACAACCAAAGTAATGGCTAACCGGTTGTCTTTTATCACCACCACCACTACTAATTACTACTATCATTATTATCTTTGAGTTTTTTCTTTCTTCATATTTCATTTTCAGAAAATGAAAATGTTAAATCCTCTTTTGTACATGTATTCGGTCAGTTTTATCTCCTTTCTGTTGGGTTTTTATTTTTGTTCATGCCAATATTAAGTACGTATGTATGTACGTAAGTATCAAGTCATTGTACTGTTTCCGCTTGGTTTGGTTTATTTGCATTGTTCATCTTTATGTTGTTATATATTACTACTGGAAGATTTATTGTTTAAATTTGTCACACCACTTTTATTGTTCTCGTTGTTGTTGTTATCATGATTATTATTATTGGTATTGACTGATGAACTAAACCGAGAAAGAACTCTCATGTGATATACTATCTGGTGCTGATCTGTGTACTTAGTGTTCAGAACATCCTCTATTCATTTCAATTGCAGATATACAGTAACATCAAGACAGACAGTTTTTCTTTTATCCTATTTCAGCCATTATTGTTTCTGTTCAAGTGACTATTTTATCATCGTGATACAATTAAGTCTGCGTATGAGTGTTTTTTCTCTCTTTTCTGTTGAACACAATGATAATTAAGCCTTTTATTCTTATTCTCTGTTGATGGTGTTCCTCATCCTTTCCCGCTTTTCATGTATGCTTTTGTGTGTGTATGTGTATAGCCAAATATGTATCATCAGGCGCTTTTAGATGTCTTCCCAGATCATTGGTTCAAAGAGGTATTAATATTTACCATTAAAAATTATATATTTAGTTATGTGATCTTAAAATTTGACAAAGATAAAATCTGTTCCATCAATATACTTCTCATCAAACAACAGTTTATTCGCATCACATAAGCGGTCCATACTGTACATTTATATTGGATATGACGTTGCACGCAATAGGTTGACAACCGTTTTTGTCTGAATCGGGGTAGCCTCTTGCTTGAAATTTTTCGATCAACAGAGTGTTTGTTATCACCCTGCATATCCTGTTTCTTAGTGATGAACCGATTGGAGAATTGCCTCGGTGCTCACTTCAATTTATTTCTGAAGACTATTGACCCCCAAGAGCTTCTGATTCCTCAATATTCACTGTCAGCTCATAAGACGGCGGACAAATAGCAATCCCTTGAAACATCTTTTCTCATTGATTTCATTTCCCTTTTGATGTTCAATGTAAACGAGTAGTTCTATTATCAGTTGATGAGATTACCATGTATTGGTTCGAAAAGTATGTAGCTGTACATTGCAATATGTTAAAGTCCATTAGGTGGAAAAAATAAGATAGATTATTGCAGCACTGTCAGTCTCCCAGCAACTATAAAAAGTACTGCTCTAGTGTTTTGAATTAACTTATTTGGTTTTTTCACCGTTACACTGCAAACTGTTCTCTAGTCTCAGGTTATTTCAAGTGTAAAAACTTTCACACTATGACTCACTTATTCGATGACTTATGTAAGATCAATATTAAGTACTGTATGGTAACTTTAATTTTCGAGGCTAAAATGAAGAAGGATGGTCGCAGTTGACTTCCAACCATGAGTTCGAACTTCATTCCACCTACCGGGATTTGGACAATCAGATAGCATCATTAACCTTCACATGATTGGAGTGGCTTGTCGCTTACTGCACGAACGTGCACAAGGTCGCGGAGTGCGTAGTTCAGTTTCAGATGAGTAAACTGCTTTAACGAGTCATCTGTTCTTCAAGCATAAAAGTACCCAAGGATAAATGAGAAATTCTCTTGTTTGTTTTTAAAATCTCTACAGTATTGATCATGAATGCTGATGAATAATTAAGTCTTCAGCACTTTAGGTTGATACTGCACTTATTATCCATTTGTTAGTGTAAGAGGTATTTCAAAATCGGACTGATAAAAAACGTCATGTTTCCGCTCGTCTAAACAGTTTGATGGCTCCACGTCATATCAGTTGTTCTTTCTTGGATGAAATATTTCCTACGGATTGGCAGATACATGTGAATTCGGAATGAAGATAGTTACAAAAATTGTGAACAGACGCCATTTGATTAAATTAGCTATATGTCAAACATCTACTGTATGTACGTGAAGTTAATATATATCACTTCCTAAGTTTGTTAGGGAAAAATAATCCAAGGACTTTTCGTAACGGAGCATTGACAAACTAAAGTCGAAGAATACATTTTACAGTGTTTTCATAAGTCTGAATTCATCACTAATAACTTTTGGAATTTGTGAAAATATCGTTTATTTTACTTTGAATTCCAAATATTTAATTTTGAGGTAGTATTCACGGACTGACATCAGTTGGAGAACCTGGGCGGCTGTTTCGTCCTAGTACGGGACTCCTCAGCAGTACGCACCCACGAGCCGGCTAGGGATTGAACTCAGGACCTTCAGGTTTCACGGCCAACGCGTCAGCCAGTCAGCCACTGGGTTGAAGCTCAGTGGTTCGTAGTTTCCAACTTCCGTCGACTCGCGATATAGCGCAACTATTACACAAGGTCTTCAGTTGCCATCCGCTTCCCTTCCTGCTGGTTGACGCCACAAGTTACGGCTTGTTATTAGAACTTCAAGATATCCACCTGAAATCATGTCACTAATGAGCACTACACAGTAATGTATTTTGAAGTTAGTGCGGATTTAAATTTTTAGGTAGTATTCATCACTGTTTAGTTCTCTCAGATTTTCAATGATTTTCTAACTGCTGTTAATCCGTGATGAATACTACCTCAAAATTAAAAATCCCCGTTAACCCCAAAATATTTAACGTCAAACTGAAGTATATTATGTGTGATACTCTCCTACTAGTTGTCTTTTAATTTTCAAAGTTTACCAATGACTACGTATTATTGGAGTGTACGAATTCGCATAAAAGTATGGGTATGGTATTCAGTATTTATCTGTAGATAACGAATCTGTCTCAGATGACCATTATATATTAACAACATTCCGCGTGTCGTTCAAAGCTTTTCAAAATATCTAACATTTATTGCATGGAAAAAAATGTTGAGTAGGTGAGACGTTAAAGCACTTTGTAAATCGTTGGGAAGGTCTTACAACAACAAAGCATAACAACTGTTGATATCACTTTCGAAAATATGTAATCCAGTCCACTGCTCTTGTCTGCCTTAAATTAGAGTCACTGCCTATCTATCATGCCATTTGAGATTTCTCGTTTGTGAGTTTTAACCACCTGTACAACTATCATTCTTTTACGTAACAGTATATCGAATTTCATTTTGCTTGCAACCTAAGCTTATGTAAAATTCTTCAGATTTCAGATTCGTTGTTTGAAGATAGGAGGCTAGGAGCCTATATTAATCCTTTTCCAGTATATTTCTGTGCTTGTTCAATCCTCTTTTGAAATAAATGTCGTTATCATGTTGTATGCAGAACGATTCTTTGACAAACCTGACGTATGCTGATTGCATTTTGTTTCACTACTTATAACTCTGCTTTTTTAATAACAAAGTGATCATGTCTATGAAACTGCTGTAAGACTTATCTAACTGCTGGTATTTCAGAAATACGTCATAACCTATCTTTTTAAGCATACATTAAAGTTTTATATATAACAAAGGGTTTGTAACACCCTAGTCACCCAAACAAAATAATGATGTTCTTTGCAATATTCGACAACTTGAGTTCAACTCATCATATAACTAATAATTAGTAGTGAAAACGTACCAGCAATGAAGTTGGCAAAGCTTGCCGCATCTCCTCGCCAACAACATGCTTTATTTCGATGTAAACCTGTGAAACATCCCGTGGCCTGCAGAGTTCGAGGATGGAGATATCAAGGTTTTCCTTAGGGACTTCGAGGCAGTCGCAGAGCTGATGGGGGTTCATGATCCTGAGGCGAAGGTCGTGGTGCTGGGAACGTTGCTACGGGGTACGGTGAAAGCAGCATATGATGGAGTGGAAGGTGGTGACGGGAAGCAGACTTGGCGGAGAATGGTTCAGAGCCTGGAGGCGGAGTTCGACAGCTCGGCGGGCAGGGAGCAGGCGATGCAGCAGTTCCGTAGCGCGAAACTGGGAATAGACGAGAATCCGCTGGTGTTGGCTGTGAAGTTGTCCAAACTACTTCGACAAGCGCTTCCCACGTTGGATGAGGGCTCCCAACAACAGTTCCTGACCGCACAGTTCACTGAAAGTGTCCCGAATGCCATTGCCCACCAGTTACAACTAGTCAATGCAGCCCAGCCCATGGATATTAGCGAAATGGCCAAAGTGACCAGACAACTAATGCGTACAGGAGTAGAGGCAGTGGAGGTAAATAACTGGCAAGAACAAATCGACAACCTTCAGGAAGAGATGGCTGCACTGCGAATGAGCGTCAACAAACAGAGTAAATGCTTCGCATGCGGGACACTGGAGAAGGAATTGTCCGTAGAGGCGGAAAAGAAAACGTTTTGAACTATATAATATGAGTTCTGTTTTTCCGACTAGACTAGATAGCGTAGGAGCAATAGATCGAGGCGCGGTGTATGCTAGATTGCGAATAAATGGTCGGGAGATCGTGTGTGTCATAGATACAGGGGCGGCAGTCTCTCTAATAGATAAGAGGCAGTCTCAGAACAAAAGACCATGTGTGCTAACGGTCCACATGGTTAAGGGACATGCACTGGATATTGCTGGCTTGTCAGATTGCGTCGTTGAGATCGGGAGTCGGAAAATCAGGTTCCCATTTATTATGACCACGCGCCTACAACGCCCAATCCTAGGTGCCGAGTTTCTGAGAGAAGTGGGTGCAGTGACTAACACGAGAACAAGAATAGTGGCAACGAAGCACGGGTCGTTCAACACTCAGGAAAATAGCGAGGTAGCAGAGATTGAAGTACCAAAAGAACCGTACCCAGAAACGCCAAACATCATGAAGGTGGTTAAGAAATACGACAGATTCTTCACAGGAGATGGAGGCCTTAATGGTTACTGTGACAAGGTTTAGCATGAAATCCCAGTGACCAGCCAGACAACGACAGCACCACACGGCGAATACAATGTCACTTGGAACAAAAGTTGGGCACCAGGTTCAGGAAATGCTAGATGAAGGTATTATTGAAGAGACTGGCAGTCCATACAGTTCTCCAGTACTTTTAGTAAGAAAGGCAAATGGGAAATATAGATTCTGCGTGGACTTTCGGGAGTTAAAAGCATAACGCAGCTGAAGCCATGTGCCATGCCGACGATAGCTGAGACACTGGATCGTTTGCAGAATATGAAAGTATTTACAGTTCTGGACCTCCGCTCGGGCTACTGACAGCTACCAATAAAAGACAGTGATAAAGAGAAAAGAGTAAACGCCGGCCTACTTCAAAAATGGAAGCAGTGGGAAAAAGACGAAACGGCAAGTGAAAATTAAGAGAAGACAGCACCAAGACGATCAACACGGTTGCAAGCCCAGAATTTTGAGGGGGCGACGAGTGTAGTGGGCGTTGCTGATAACAACGGATATAAGTAGCATATATATAGAGGGTGGCAGGAATCATAGGGAATTACCGGCAATGGGTAAGATTTCTGCCAAGAGCAACGCAGGGGGTTACGCGGGCGTAAAACAGGGGATGCCACTCATAAGGGTGTATAAAAAGCACGTCAGAAGCAAATCAAACAGGAACGGAGGAGGAGACTGAGACATTTGCAAATGGCTGGGTTAATGCAAGGTGTACCATATGTAACCACTACCATTCCGATTGTTCGTTATCTCATCGAGTTGTCTTTTGTCTCTACAGTGCCACTGCCGAATTATAAAGGCTTTAGCTGTCTTCGCCGCTGATCGACGGAATTAGTCGCCTGAGTGCTAGTGAACGACTGAAAGTAAATTAAGCACCTATTCGATAAACAATAAGACAGCACAATTTAAAAGTTCCTGGTACATGTATAATTATATAGGTCCTACACAATTTCTGAAAACGTTTTGAATAAAAACATCTTGATATGCTTAC